TGGGAAAGTTATTTTCCATTACCAGGCTGGTCAATTAAGTGCTCCGGTAGAAGATAATTGGCTTTATTTCTTTTGAGTCCTTATATATATATATATATATATATATATGTATGTATAAAAACAAACCAAGATGGGTGTGTTGTTTTCGCCTCCTTTCATCCGTGTGACTCCCATTTCGTGTTTGATGCCAACACATTCATATCTAACTAGTGACGTTTACATTATTGGATTGGTGAGTTTTCAATGTCGCCCTTTCGACTTAATGTCCATGACTCATGAATCTCATGCAATTGGCTTGGTCAACTTTGATTTAGCTCCGGGAATAAAGGAAGCCTTAGGAATTAGCTACCTGGCTTTCCCAACGTCAACAAACGTAACTCCGCGGAAAAAGGTGAAGACTGATGCAATCTAGTATCCTAAACCGTTCTCAGCTCTTTATCATAAGGATTACGCGACCTTCTTATAACGGAAGGTATGCTCTTTTGTGCTATGTATGCAGTGGTCAAAAACATCGCACCGCCTCGCGTCCGCTCGGTCGGCCCGCAGCAAGAGCCGCCGTTTTGTTCGGCTCCTGTCTCCGTCTGGATGGGCCCCCAGCACGCGCCGCTCTCAAACAAAAAGTGAAACGTCCCGTAAGGCGCCGGGTAATGATCGGAAAGCGGGTGCCCGAACGTGCGGACCGCTCCTCGCTTCCGGTGGCCGCTGATCACGTGATGCCCGGGGGCGTTTGAGACTCGGTCATGTGACAGCCATGAGGCGGTTGGGACGTCGAGTGCCGCAGTGATAACGGTGGTGATGATGGTGATGGTGGTGGTGATGATGGTGATGGTGGTGGTGATGATGGTGATGGTGGTGGTGGTGATGGTGATGGTGGTGGTGGTGGAGATGGTGGTGGTGATGATGAGGGTGATCGTGATCGTGATGGGGAGGATGGTTATGATGGTAATGGCAGTCCTTTGGACGTTAGGGTGTGGTTGCCGTCCGGCCACGTAGCGTACGTGGATGATATGGGGTGCAAAGTCCATTTCCAAGAAGCCGCTTGCATTCAACACGTCTCCGTGAACGTTTTATTCCTTCTTTTTTTTTGCTCAGCGTTACACAAGTCAGGCTTGTTCCCACCAGGCGCATCGGGAATGATTACGCCGGCTGCTGCGTTGAAAAATGAAGCCACCTGCTTGCCGTGGGCACGATTATCAAGACATTCACAGATTTCTGAGTGCCCGGTGCGCAATTCACGGATCGTCAGTTCGCGTCCTCCCCGTCCGGCTCTCCGCAGGCAGTCGTAACAGGCCAGATGGTAGAGAATGAACTTTGTGACGTCATTTGAATCTGTGCGGTTCCGGCCGATCGAACACGCCCCACGCGCGCGCCTTTAGCGCGAGACATGCATCCCAAGGCGTGCTACGCTCTTAGCCTGTTGCATGAATCAGCCTTGTGGGGTGCGTGGGGTGCCTGTTCTGTCTCGGCACGCATCCCACAGAATTGGGATGTGTGTCAAGACAAGACATGGCATGCTCCCGGATGCGAGTCATGAGGTGTATCGTCTTGACACGACGACGAAGTAAGAGGTGCCGTATGTCGTATGCCGCATGAGTCGTATGTCTTATATACGTCGTCGACGTGTCTTAGGACGTCGGCGACATAGCAAAGAGACGTCCTGATGGTATGTCAACACCTATATAAGCGTTGGAAATCGATCATTTCTCAATGGCCTCCCCCCCTCCCCCACACACTCACACACTGTTGCACAACAGTGTGTGGAGATGGAAATGCGTTTCGACTCCGACGTCGGAGTCGAGCCACGGCAAACCAGGGCAAACCACGCCAAACCACCGCAAACCACGGCAAACCACGGCAAACCATCGCAGACCGGTCCGCTTCGGCACCCGGACTAATCGGTCCGCCGTCGGTCCATGCTAACGGACCGGTGGCCCGCGGCGGCTGCGCACCGCACGCACAGCGCGTGCGGCCAGCCATAGTGCGTGCGGTCGACCGACCGGCTGTGGTAAACCGGTGCAGCCACCGCTCGGATTCTCCACCGGACGCGGCGCGCGTAGCCGGCCGCGACCGGGACGGGCTGCCTGGAAACGGGGCTTCTAATGGCCCAGCCCGCTGACGGAGGGGCCTTGTGAGCTGGGCCTCCAATGGTCCAGCCGACGGGCCCAGGGGCCCTGTGAGCTGGGTCTCTGACGGCCCCAAAGTGGTTCACGGATGTCTCGGATGCGTCCGGCACAATCTCACCGCACCTCCGGTATCCGCGGTGCTGTCCGTGTCACTCACGGCATGCTTAAAGGCGGAGGGCGAGCGACTCTTGACCACACTGGCTGGCAACCGGCCCTACCGAGATGAAGCTGGGTAGCAGAAACTCCTCCGCAAGCTCGTTTTCCGACACCACGGCAGCCCCAGCCGGCCTGCTTCGGTGGGGCGAGTGGCATAGTGGACCGAGGACCTGTAGGTCAACATGGCGCGCAGTGTGCGCTGAACTTGAACCTTTGACAGGTTTTTGTGCGGTCGATTGTTGGTCTCGCCTCCTCAGAACTGAAAAAAATAAACATGAGAAAATACGTGGGCATTGATCAGAAGTTTTAAAATGTCCCGAATGAAGTGATACCGCAGGCGAAAGAGAGATTAGAATTGCATTGCGCAGGGCCCCAAAAAGTATTCGCGCCATGTATCCACAGTGAAATCGCTTGTAATTGTAGTAAAAATAATGACACCGCATGTATATATTTTGTGGCATGCTTATTCTCAGGCTTACATTCTGTTCCTCCTCCGGACAAACGGGGCTTAGCGGTGGTGCCGTACGCTAGTTGTCATGAGGCCGCTAGATGTCAGTGATCAGCACACAGTCAGCTGATATCCAAACAAAACTTCCGGGTCGTTCTCACCGCATTCGTAATTTCGCCAGGAGGGTTGCAGGTGGTGGGTGCGTGAGTGTGGGTGGGGGTGAGAACGTTAACGGCCTTGGAAAATTCTGGTGCGTGGGGTGAGGAGATTGACGAAACGAGCCATACTTGATTAGCCATTTGTAACGTAAACGGGTTTTACCATTATGTTTTAAGCCCTCGCGTGGTCGCTTGCGTTGAGCGACAAAACCAAGGAATCATTTTGTAAGCATTATCACATGGCTTTTGTTTTGTGCCAAAGAAGTGCCAAATCGCTGTGAGGTGAGTTAAGTGCAGTGTTTGTGAGATCTGGATGCATAGGCCGAAGTGTTTGTGCACCTGTAAAAATTGGGTTTGCTGTTGGGGACCACAAGCTGAGTTTTGCTAAGTTTTTTTGGTTGCAGGAAGCAGACAGCATGCTCTCTGTTAAATCAAATTTCTTTCTGTGATGCCATCATGAGTCCTAAGATATTAAGGGAATTGTATCATTGTTATGTTGTGATAGCTGGTTTGTGAGGTGAAATTGGAAGTTAATTGCAATTGTACTCACTTGGGAGGAGCTGGTTGTCTATGTTTTAGGCACACAGTCAGGCATTTAGCACTGTTAAAAATTTGAAGCACTGGGCTGTAAGGCTTTGAGTAGTGCCTCCCTTTGCTGTTGCTGACTGATTTTGAGGATGTGTGAGGTTCTGATAGAACAGCAGCAGTTTGCTGATCAAAATTGAGGAGCTTATACCAGCTTATGACATAAACCTGCACCAAATTTTTTTGGGATTCTGGCTGCCAAACTACTAAAATGATCAGGAATCTGCTAAATGGCATTGAACAACAAAGTCCAGCTATCTGTGCTGTTATGACACTTGTGGCCTGCTGCTACCACGGAGCATGCAGAAATATGGAAGAACATGCAGATGTATACATGTCCATTCACATGTCTAAATTTCATTGCACTGGTATGCAATACATGTGGTATGTCAGAGAAGCAGCCTATCCAACTATTGCACTGGACAATGCTTTGCCAGTTGTGTATCAGAATGGATATGGGTGCCAATCACAACACCTCCTGAAGTCTGAGTTTTCTAAAATTTGAAAATCCGCTGACACACATGCTACTGCTGCAAAGATGACCTTAATCCAGTGTTGTGCCTCTCAGAGGTGTATGAGGTTGCATGTGTTGCAAACCATTTGAAGGCCTAAACCATGCACAGGTTTATGTGATGTTAAATATCTTTATTGCAGCTCCTGCCATCTATTGGTCTTAAGTGATGACATGACAAATGTTGACAGGCTGGACATGCATAAAGACAATTGTATTTTAATAGTTTGGAATGTTTGTGTGGGCTTCCAAGGGCTTCTGGCCGCATTCACCAGCTCTTGGTGTCATGTGATGACACTTGCTTCCACCATCATTTTGTCCGTGATCATTTTGCTGGTCCCCCCCCCCCCCCCCCCCCAGCAATGGTGTGGCACTGATTCGGTATGCAAGACGAATCCGAGCCCCAGTGTGGCGTGTCTGCTTCGCTGGCACTTCCCAACCGCCGTGAACAGTCGCATGCATTGCCAGGCAACCAAGGCAGATCATTGGTGCCACCTGTCCATGCCTGGAATGGTGGTGCAGGCTTGATGTCTGATAAAATGTGCAAGGAAAGGAAAGTGTTGAAGATTATGCTGTTCGTCACATGCTGCTCATCAATCACTCAAGTGGCGAGCACTTTGGTGTTATGGTTTAATGCCAGCTGGCTGAGGTTGGATTATCATGGATAGCATGCAATGAGACTGAGGAATGCTGTTGACTCAAGCGCCTGGCACAGCCACTCACGCACGACACAACGAGGAGCGCGTTCGTCGTGGCCCTCAGGATGCACTTGCTGCTGCCTCTGCTGGTGCCGCTGCCGTCCTTGCTGGCGTCCTACTCTGATCTCGTGACTGGCGCCGACACGCCTTGCCCCTTCAGGATGTATTATCGTCTTCTGCTGCCGCTGTCGCTGTATAAGGCTATTCCCTGGCGCTGACACTCCTTCCCCGTCAGGATGTATCACATCGTCTTCTGCTGCCGCTGCTACTGTCGCTGTCGCTGTGCCGCGCCGAGCTGTTTCACGGCGCTGGTCGACATGGAGCACCTGGCCTACACGGAGCGGGAGCTGATTGGCATGCTGGACCGCGTCATCCAGGCTGAGGGAGCGCAAGATCCAGACTCTGAAGAAGTGAGTGGCACAACTGGGACCAGTGCGGAGGGTCGCGGCTGGGGGGGCCCGAGGTGCGGGGTTCGATTCCCCGCGGTGGCCGCCCTTCCTGCCAGGGCAGGAGGAGGCAGGCGGGCCCGTGACCTCAGCAGCTAGGTTGTGTCGTGAAGCCGTGAGGACGGACGGACCGAGGGAGGGGGGGGGGAGGGGGGACCACCCTCAGTGACGGGGGTAGCGTCGAGGTGAGATACGGAAGTGGGCGGCGTCGCACAGTCTGTATGGGCTTTCGCGCCGCCTTAATGCCCGGCGGCCGGGGTGCGGAGTCATTCCAGAGGCGGACCCGCGGGCGTGCAGCGTCTGTCTGTGTGGTAGAGCTTGGGGGGGGGGGGGGGGGACCGGCTGCGAGCGAGGAGTTGTCGGAGACCGCTGTCTGTCGGTTGTGCTGTTAGGTGGTATGGGACACGGGAATCATAGCGGTCGAAGTGTGCTGCTTTCAATCGTCGAAAAGTATAGGTGCGTGTGTGAGCGCGGTTACAAGGCGTGCACCTGGCTTGCCAGAATTGGTCATGGCGGGTCAAGGGGTCATACCTAGAAGTGGCGCTGTCGCGCGTCCCTGCACACGTGGCGGGCTTGGTGGAGTCTGTGGCTCGTCTCACTGGTATCGCTGTCGTCCTTGCTCACGTAGCGGCCCTGAGTGGAGGCTGTGGCTCGTTCTCACCAGGATCGCTGCGTCTAGCGTGGCGGGACACCAGCATCGATTGTACGTTGTGTGCTGAACTGCTGTGCAATGCGCGGCGGCAGTTAATGGCGCGACAGTTTCGTGATGTAAGCAAGCCCATGCGGTGCTACCGCGGTCGTCTGTCAGCCCGATGTCGCCGACAGCTGCTGTAGTCCCGTCCGGTGACAAGATCCGTGTACAATCACACAATGATCGGACGGTACGATCGTACGCAACGGCCACATTGTCCACGTTGCTGGGCGCCGCACAACGGCAACTCCGACCTCGGCGCGCGGCCCGCAGGTACATGGAGGCGTACGAGCGCGTCAACCGCGAGCTGGTGGAGAACACCGAGGCGTTCCTGCACAACCCGGTGAACGCGTACCTGGTGGTCAAACGCCTCACCGCCGACTGGAAGAAGGTCGAGGGCGTCATCACGGAGAACGTCGGCGCCCGTGAGTCCCCCTACGGCGGGTCAGACTTTCTGGCACGATGTGCGCTGTTCGGGGTTGTCCGTCGGCCTCGGTGCATTGAGAAGTCTGTGGTCCGTACCCCGGCCGCTGCCAGACGCCTGGTGCTCCGCCAGTCATGTCCAGGGTCCCTACCTCAGCTATGGCTATGTTATATGCTCCGCATCGTCTTGTCGATGGCCTAATATCCCTGCTGAGCCGTTGTACTTCGGCTCACGTACACGCTCCAATTCCCGTAAAAGCATTCCGCCGACATCCCCGTGCGACGTTTTGGTTATTCCTTTGATGCGGTGTCGTGCTGCACGTAGCAGCATGACATTATTTAGCAGCTCATCCCGGCTCGGTGTTGGGGACAGCGACGCTCTTCACTTGTCTGGAACGTGTGGCGCGATCTGTCTGCAGCGTGCGGGTGGGTCTGACGTGTGTGACGCTGAGGGTTCTCGTCGCCAGCACGGTGTCATTGTGACCCCTGTGACCCGACCTGCGTGACCGTTGCCCAGGTCCCTAATTGTTGTGACCCTGTGCCCCGTTGACAGAGCACGTGGCTTCCCGCCTTTCTCCTGTCACCTGTGGCCGTTTACGACGGCTATCTAACCTGGGCGGTTGTATCTCGCTAATCGGAAGTCTGTGATCCCTGTACTCGCCGTCGCTGTGGTGATGACCTCCGCGCCTGGGCCGGCAGAGTTTGTGGAGAACATCACGCAAGTGTCGGACCATCTCCGAATCCCCGACGACGAGGACCTGACCGGCGCGGCTATGGCTTTGATCCGCCTCCAGGATACGTACCGGCTCAACACGGCCGGTGAGTGGGAGCCGGCCGCGGCGGCTCTGGCTGCGGTCCAGCGCTGGTGCTGGCTCAGCACGGCGGCTGGGTGCGATGCCGCCCTCCGAATTCGGCTCTTGTGTGGTGCACAGACGGAGGACTCGAGAGTCAGCAGCGGAGTGCATCGTAAAGCTTCAATGACGATGAGGACTTGAGCGCTGGAAGGATGTGTGACAGAGATGATGTACATTGAACGGAGTATTCGCGCGACACGCATGTCTGTGATTTTGAATAACTTACGGTAGGTAGGCAATCTCACGGTGGCTGTGCTGGTGGCTGCATGCTTTCAGCTAGCTGGGGCCAATGCCAGAAGACGCGGACGCAATTCTACCGTGTTGAGAGTCGTGTAGCTTTCTTTACATATCCACGTTTGTCGTCCCATTCAAGGTTTGGGAAGAGCTTTCGCGAGGCGTCGTTTCCGGTGCGTTACTGTAGGATTGGCTAACCTCCGTGGTATCTCCCCCCATGCCGGCATGTCGTCCAGCGATGTTGATCGCTCTTTGGAGCCGGGTGGGCAGGGTTTCGCCCCCACGCGGGACGGTGGCTGTTCTGGGAAGTGGGGGCGTGACCTTCCAGCGCGACTGGGCGTGGGTGCCCTCGGAGCCCAGCCCGGTCTCGGGAGATGGCGATCACCTGCTGGCTGCGTGCGGCCTGGTTGTGGACGGTTCGTGTGGAGGGGTGGTGATACGTAGTCGGACCCCTCTCAGCTCTGTGTCCCCGCAGAGCGTGGCGAGGACTCGCGAGTGCTTCTCAGAAGTCCCGTGTGGGCTTGAGTCTGACTTGACCCATGCGCCGAAACCGAGCCGTTGCGGCGATGCGAAGCGTATGGCAACTTCACCAACGACGACAATTACAGACAGCCCACTAACCTCGGCGAACTGCAATGGAATGACCGCGAGGCTATAACAGCGATCCAAAATGCGCACAATAGTAGCGCGGGAACAAATGTGTGTAATGCCGGCGCGCCACGCCCAACGCACGTTCCGCTCAGCTGCGCCGTCGCCTGGCGCTTCCTCATGGGCTACAGCCCCGCATGGACGGCGCGCCGTTTGCAAACCAGGTGGCGCGTAGTGCGAAGGATAAGTCGCAACCCGCGGCAATTTTCTTGTCGTTTCGGCATTGCGCGGTGCTTACGGTGCGCGGTGCTCCCTCCGGGCTCTTTCGGCGTCGGATGCTCGCAATACGTAGGCGTTAGCCGCCTTTAAGCCAGTGCACAAATAGCGAATCGGCGACTGGCAGCGCCGACAGCGGTGCCTGGCGCCGCCTGACGCCGGCGCGCTCGACAGCCGTGCACGGGATCCCCCTCTGACGCCGCTCCCGTGCGCAGACATCGCCAGCGGTGACATCCGGGGCTCGCGGCTGAAGCGGCAGCTCACCGCCGGCGACTGCTTCGAGCTGGGACGCCAGAGCTACAACAACGCCGACTTCAAGTGGGTGGCGCTGCTGGAGGCGAGGGGGCTGGCCCAGGGGGTAGGAACGACAGCAGAACGGCTCGGGTGGGGGTGTGGTGGGGGAGCGGGAGGGTTGGGGGTTGGGGGGCAGGAATGACAGTAAGACGGCAGCGGCTGCTACTGAGGTGTGACGATAAATGGACTTGTGGAGTGTGAGGCAGTGGACGTGCGGGGTGTAAGGCAGTGGACGTGTGGAGGATGAGGCAGCGAACGTGTGGAGGATGAGGCAGCGGACGTGTGGAGGGTGAGGCAGCCTGACATGGTGGCAAGTGTAAGAGGCATTGGACGTGTTGCAGTGATAAAGCAGTGACGTGTTGGACAGTGGTAAGGCAGTGGACGTGTGCAGTGTAAGGCAGTGGACGTGTGGAGTGTGGGTCAGTGGACATGTGAAGTGTAGGGCAGTGGACATGTGAAGGATGAGGCGGCGGACGTGTGGAGTGTAGGGTAGTGGACGTGTGGAGTGTAGGGCAGTGGACGTGTGCAGTGTGGAGCAGTGGACGTGTGGACGCTCTAGAGGGGCGGCAGATGACCTAGCCGGTGACCGAGCACGTGCGGCTCTGACTGACGCGATGTCCGAGGCTGTGGCCGTTACGGGGCCGGCCGTCCGACGAGGAGGCAATGTTCACCGACCCACGACCCACCCTCTATACACTCCACCGGCTGAACGACTGACCTCCCCACCGGCTACGAGCACACGGAAACGCCAACCACGCAGAAAGTCCCCTCAACCGGGATTCGAACCCGTCTCTCCCTCTGACGGCGCCGCGTACGCTCCAGACACACCGCCCTCTGGATGGAGGAGGCCTGGAAGATCTGGCGCCAGGAGCAGGAGCGCACGGCGCCGCTGGGCGACATCCTGGAGTACCTGGCCTTCAGCATCTACAAGATGGGCGACATCCAGCGCGCTCTCAGTCTGACCAACCAGCTGCTGGACGAGGAGCCCGGCCATCCGCGAGGTGTCGGCAACAAGGTGAGGGAGGCCGGGCCGGGCCTCGGACGCAGTGGTGTGTGGTGGGCGGCGCCCCGGCCCAACAGATGACGCGCGCTGGGTTTCAGGGCGGGGTCTGGAGGTTGACGTGTGTTGGTGTGTTGGTGATACATAGGTCGCGTGTTGTGTGAAATGATCGGTACTGGTCGAAAGCGTGTGATCCAATAGCCTGTGTCGTGGTGCGCTGGTGGTCGTCGGTTGTCGTTTGCGTTTGCTGAAGCTGAATGGGCTCTCTGAGCGCAACCGAGCGCTCGCCGCGTGATCTCTTAGCGAAGATTTGTGACACGCTTCATCTTTTCCCCATCCGAGCCAACGGCTTCGTTAAACAGAATGGTTCATTACAAAAGCTACCATTCGGGTGCAAGTTCTTGGCAGATTTCGCTGTCAGTGTCTTCTCCTCAGCCATCCCGGATATGAAGGGATGCCACCTGTTCGCTGTTTTTGCTTACTTAACGCAAATCGGGCATTGCCATCGTCTCCCAGTACCCCCTCCCCCCTCAGTGGCTTCTATCATTGTGACGTACTGGATTAAAGCGACGGCAGTTCAGTGTTCCAATGATCGGCCGACTTGGGTGGCAGGGATGCCGATATTTTTCATGCTATAACACCCGGATTCGGGCTCGCTGCCTGTTACCACTCCCCTTGCTCAAAATCGTCAATCAGCATCGAACCGGGTGGCTGTCAAACCAGTATCTATGCGTCTCAGGCTTGACAAACGGGCTGCGTAGGTCGGGTGTCTGGAGCGGGTCAAAGGGCAGCAGATCAAACGCAACGAATCGCATGCGAGGACCGCCGGAGAGCCAGGATTCTGGCAGCATGGATGTATGTTTACATCTCGTACACACTACTGGATGAATTTTTAGACGGGCGGCAGCTGAATGCCGTCATGGTACCGTCGCAATGTCCTCAGCTCGTAGGTGTGCAAGGGCGTCACTGAACTACAGCGCTCCACCCTGCCCGTCCTCAGACCGTCTTGTACGGCCCCAGTACGGCACTAGCATGGCCCCAGCATGGCTGCAGTACCGCTCCGCATGGCCCCAGCAGCCTTTCGTGACGGCGCCCTTTTGTTCGGCAGGCCTACTACGAGCAGGAGCTGTCTAAGGCGAAACGAGGTCAAGCGGCAGAGGAAGGGGGAGACCGGCGAGCCCGAGGACCTGGAGCAGAACATCGCCAAGGTACGTGGTCAGCACACAGAGGAGGCGCGTCCCGCCGCAGCCGCGCGCGTTCCACTGGGGCGTTCATGCTTAGACTTGGCCCGGCGGCCAGCTTCAGCGGCAGCTCTCCTGATGTTTAACAATGATAACACGTCATGCAAGGTGTGCATCTTTTCATGATGAGCTCGGTTGGTGCCGGTTGGCTTTCTTTCTCTGGCTCCCTGCATTTGTTGGTTGATCTGTGAACAATTCGTGATGCGATTGGCCCATCAATTTAGTTAATGCTCTCGCCTGGTTTTCGTCAGTGATACCTCATACAGTGTCGGATCAGAAACAGAAGCGATGTAAATCATATTGTTCAAGATAATCACATCCTTCGAATCCGCTGATCATCTTACCTAGCTGGCGTGCTTCAAAGGACAAATCGCTGAAGTTTGTGTGCGCCTCCCCCGGCTGCCTGCCGTCTTTTGTCACGAAGTCCAGCGAAACACCGGTCCACTCTCCACAGCGCCCTTGTCATGTCTATCTGTCCCGATTCTCTGCACGCTTCTGATCGGCCGCCCTGTCCTCAGCCTGCTTCCTCACATTCCTCCCTGTCCGCTCCTGCCTCTCAAAGCCCCGCCATGCACTTTGCTGCCCTCACAGTCCGTCGTCTGATCTGTACTCGATCCCGATCTGACTCGGTTCGAACCCACAGGCTTGGTGGCTCCCGCCTGACGCCGTGTGACCCCCGCCTGCCGCCCCTGTGACTCCGCCTGACACCCGTGTGAC